TTTTCTGTTGTTCTATGTGTACTATTTCAAAGATTTATTTTTATGCAATCAAGAGAGGGCTTAGATATTGTTCACAATGCAGTAAAACCCTGAAATGACTTTGAGGCTAATACAACCTTGGAGGAAAATCAAAAAATAATGAAAGCTACTGTCTATTTTGTTAGCACTGGATAACAATGACTTGTTCTAACAAGTTATCTTATCAGGTTTTACCTGTAGTTCATATGCTAGATAGCAATCCAGTTCACATTTTTACAAATGTGATGTTTAAAACATGTCAATAAACATTTTGTACATAATGACAGTTTCCTATGAATAGCTTACAGACTTCCTCTGAAATCATTCTTATTTCAAATGCCAGGATAAGAACTTAAAGGTTTGTAAATTATTTCTTGACCTACATAATTTTGTATTAAAACAAATGCAAAATGTTCTTCAAAATAAAACTGTGTAATAATTTTATTATACTTGGGACTCCTTTTACTAATAGTTTTTCAACTAAAAACTCCAAAAGTTAAATCCTGTTTGCAGTGTTAGAAGAGTGGGAGGGAATGTGTGGAATATAGTCATCAGTGTGGAATATAGTCATCGGTCTACACTATCATAGTGTGCAAGTCTTTTATGAATGATTGCTGTTAACCAGAAAGAAATAAAGTGATTATTTGTATGAAAAAGGGTACTATTACTCCTCTACTATCTAAGGGATTATTACTTCCCTAGATGCAGACCTATGGAAAATCTGACTAAAATCCCCTAAAACGTCAAAACAAACCTTTCATGCTGCTCGCCAGGAAACACTTGGATAAGTTAACCAGCAGTAGTCACCTCGTGGCACTTTCCCAGTTTACAGAAAGAAACTCGAGGAGACCAAAATGGAGCTTTCTGGATCTGGTATGACTGTGAAATAACAATGAGTAGTTTTCAAAGTTCCCCCGACTGTGGTATACCCACTTCTGAAAACCGCCTTTAAGGCAAGTGAAGTTGAACATTAAAAAAAAAAAAAAGAGGAGGAAAAAATCCTAGACCAGGTTTCTTAACCACATGGACTTTTGATAGCACATCAAATTTGGCAGACGGATCTGAATGACAAATTTTTAAATTAATCATTTGTCCAAGGAGACAGAAAACAATATACTGACTTCACTGTATTTTCTTGTTTGTATGGTTAGTCCTTAGCTTTCAGTAGTCTGGTGAGAGACTCTTTAGGGCAGATATGCTATTTTATGAGAAAACTGTCTTTACAAAAATAAATAATAAAGGAAATTTAGTTACAAACCATGTTCTATATAGTTAATGCTTTAAGGGAGAACACATATCTACGGAAACATAGTATACCTGTTCAATTTTATTACAGAAGTATATGGAAAAAAGTAATCAATATATGCACAATTACATGGTAATTGGCACCCTTAAAAAACTGCCAAACATGGTAATTACTCAATACAGAAAAACTAGAAGTTATCTCAACAATTAAAGCATGTTTCTTGAGTTTCCAGATTTATTTATATATGTATATATAATGACAGAAAACATTAGTAAAGAATTAAACATAGCTAAGTTTTTACAATGAAGTAAATTCACTGAAAAAATGAATATATAAAATACATTCATATTTGAACAATGTCTTTTTTTGAGCTTAGATGACAGTAGAGACTAAAAATTGTAATACTGTATAAGATGCACTCTTCTCTCTATAATAACTATTTAAACTATAATTTTTATAAAAATGCATAAATGCTTTTATTATTCCTCAAAATATGTTTCTATGTTTATTTTATAGAAAAAGCATGTTCTAAGCCCACTTTCAGTGGGCTATATAACACTAAGCAGAGTTGATATAGCTGCCTCATTTGGTTGCAGACTAACTGATATCAGGCACTTGGAAAGGATTTTAAGCTGCATAAACATCAAAAGTTCTGATGTACAAAACCTTGAGTGGCCTTACATAAATATAGTGCAGTTTTACAAATACTGCTATTTTCTGCTGCTTTTAAAAGCACTTCTCATACTAAAGCAACTTGAACTATGTGCAAAAAAGAAATATTTTTGATTACTTTTCTTTCTTAATCTCGTTGTCCCCAGCCAGAGACCTCCAACAGTGTCAGCAGCATCTGCAGCAAGCCATCACCATGGAAACGCTGGCGTTCTCACTCGCAGTACCGTTGCTGGTTCAAGCCGTGCTGGCAGGTCCAGTAACTTCCAAATTCCTACCTCAAACAGCTTTTACAGTTAACTGTTTTTGAATAAATAACGTAGTATCATCATCACGTTTATAGAAAAAATTTGTATCTGGGTAGAACTGGGAATAATATTCAATTCTACACTGTATTATTTTGTTAAATAAGTAAAACTCTGGAATTATCAGCTGGTGCTCTGTAATCCAGTAAGGTGTAAAAAGATGGTTAATTTTAGCTAGCAGACTGCCAGTGCTCCACAGAGCATGTTAGAATACCTTGTACTTGTTCCACGTATCCCTTAGCAGCCTCCACTCTGCTAGAAGTAAGAAAATTTTAAAAGGAACTCAGTATCAGCAACCAGATACAATGCAAGAGAAAGTTAACAGTAGCCCGACACTACCTGCAGATTTCCCCAGGGCAACAAAGCTTTCAAACACCTGAGTCATTTCCTTGGCACTGCCCCAAAGGAAGGGCATGAAGGAGCCTCCGTGTTCTACAGCAGTGAGGCCTGAATTAATAAAGCAGCTGTGGTTCACAGCGTGTTTAGAAGGGGAGGAATTTGCAAGGTGTCCATGTATGTTCAGAACTGCAAGAAGAGAGGATGTTTCAGAAGAAACGCCTGACTATCTGACTGCACAATGCAGCAATGTGTACTAACGTATGTATGACACATACGCAATTCGGCATGTAGATGTAACCTTGCTATTTCCTCATCTATCAGAGCTTGACAAAACGGCAGAGGACAGCTCTGTGGGCAGTAAGTTATGTAAGGCAGTGGCTAGCTAATCCTCTGCAGTTGCATCGTAACAATTCCCATCTTGCATGCCGAGAGTGGAAACTCAAGTTGTAAATCTGCAAATGCAGGAACTTCAATATTCTGTCTTTCAAAATTGCTTCCCCTCTCAACTGCACAGGGCTGTGCTAAGTTTCACCACTGTATGTTACTCTGAGTATCCTAATACTTTGTGTTCCGAATAACACTAAGATACCTACTGAATACCTTTAAATGAAAATCTTAAAAGCACAGGTGCTGAATAAAAGCTATTTGCCACAGAAAGGTACACCATACACGGTTCATGCTTCCCCCAAACGCACAGCTGCATCACATGAATTGTCTCAATAACAGCTAATCAATCACCTATGACTAAACATTCTTGCTCTTCCCCTCATTCCAGAAGATGGCATCACGTACATAGAAAGGGTTTACCTGTCTCCTTTCGGAGTGGAATTCCCTGCTATCGTCTTCCATCTTCAGTATTTTTGTTTACTCTTTATGCCGATACTCTAATGAATTAAGTCCTTTCCCTCAGTTAGCAGCAGGGCTTCCAACCACTGCCTTACCGCAAGCAGCACCAGGTACAACTATCTGCCTTAAACATCTGCAGTTGTCCCTCTAGCCAACATCTGAGTCAGCAAGTTTTTTTACAGTCTGCTCAAGTGGTGTAAAATTCCACTTTTTCTGAAAAAAAAACCTTTATTTTGTTTACCACAAGTCCTAAGCAATCTTAGGCTACAGAAGCTTTTGCTTTATAATTTGACAGCTGCTTAGTCAGAAGTTCTTTTGGAATACTTAATAAATCCAAACAACTCAGTGGATTCAATCTCATTCAATGAGTTCAATTTCTTTAAGTGGTGGGTTTTTTTTGTGTTTTTCGTTTTGTTTTGTTTTCAAAAAATCAGTACCTGGAAGTGACTGACACATAAAACAGCCACGAAAGATCATGTATCTTGCTTTACACATCCGAAGACAGTAAACCAAAGATTTAAGTCCTAACTAAAATATAGCATTGGTTCACTAAATAAGTTACTTGTCTTCTAATTTAAAAAGATCTCTTCCTGTATCATCATCATCTGACCTTATACAGTTAAAATTTTGAGTAACCTTTCATTTTAAATCTACATCGGCTGTATTTTTTTTTATAAAATTTGAGTGATAGTAAGGCATCATTCTGAATATTTGCTGAGAAATATCTTTTGCAAACACACATCTTTGAGCAAAGACCACTAAGTTTAAGGACATTACAGGACGGGCAGACCTCTTACTGTGCTAAATGATAAAGTGGTGCAAATAAATCAGCTTAAATTGTTAACTGAATTCTACTAAGCCCCTTGCAGAAAAGGCAAGGAGAAATTCCAGTTTTCCAGTATATTTTCATACATGTCAGGTCCTGTTCTGCATTTATTAGAAGAATAACTTTATGATAAATACAATGTATGTCTTTCTGAATACTACACAGTTAAGACTGCTAAGTATGGTATGAAAGTCTAACTTTCAGTGAGGATTTGTGAACTGTGGGTTCCTCCCATAAAAACCCACATTTGACAAATTCTGAACACATGCAGGTTCCTCTCTTTCCAATGAATTCTGGTACGTACTACTTTGGCCTGTGAGTATGAAATTGTGTAAGTACTTACATTTACTTAACCATCCTTTACAGGATGTGGGGATTACTGCCTAGCTGTTACCCCGGGTCACGCTCTCACAGCAGTTAAAATCCTTCCTTTAAATAACAAGGCATACCATAGTGATTTTCAAAATAGCATACATTAATTTCTTCCATTCCTCATGCAATTGCACAATATTTTTGGTTTATGTGCACAACTGTTTTGTCATTTAGAAATAGCTTCTCTTCAACAAAAAATTTGGATTGTACCACAAAAGGTCATGTTTAACTACTGTAAGCAGCTCAAGTCAACTGATTAAAAAAAAAAAAGAATAGGTAGTCTAATAAGTCTAATATAAGAGAATGGCTCAAATTAATTGTTACTTTAATAAGATATGTTGTTTTGCATGGTATTTATTTTGTTGTGATGTTCAGTATGAGATATCAACATGCTGGTGAAAAGTCAAGTAACAAAAGATGTGAAAGGCTGAGAACATTTGTTTATCTCTGTGTTTCCAAGGTCTTGGGCTTATAAACAGGAATGTTTTTTTCCTGAAGTGATGGGAGGCCCTTAATTATATCTGCAGCTTTCTCTGCCATCATAATAGTTGGGGCATTCAAGTTCCCACTGACAACACTGGGCATTATTGAAGCATCTACTACTCTCAAGTTTTCAACGCCAATTACTTTTGTTTGGGGATCAACTACAGCAGTGCTGTCTGAAGGCTGACCCATTTTACAGGTGCAGGAAGGATGATAAGCACTATCAGCCTTCTGCCTTATGAAAGCATCTATTTCTTTGTCAGACTGAACATGGTTTCCTGGTTGAATTTCAGGCCCACGAAATTTTTCAAAAGCTTTCTGAGCAAAGATCTCTCTGGTCAACTTGACACACTGGCGGAATTCCAAAATATCTCTTTCTGTATGAAGAGAAAATAAGATAACTGTAAGTACAACTCTAATTTAGTAATACATGCAGAATGCATAACAGAACAAAATAGCGCCAAAGAAAAAAGACTGGAGGGAAAGTCTCCCACTTACTGCCAAAAGCCATAATAAAGCAGAATATTTTTCAAAGTCACAAATAACTATATTCACTGTGAACAGAACTGTAACTTATATTGCACAATCCCAAAAGGGAATAGTTGAGCTATGAAGAATTACTCTTTGTTTCGCTACACCCACTGTCTAGCCAAGGACACCAGTCTCAGCACAAAGAAGCAAACAAGACCCATTCCTTCAGCAGCAGAGGAGGAGATGAAACAAGCAGCACGACACAGCAAACACTAAGAACCCTGACTGCACCCCCAGCAGGGAATTCTTTTGGGTTTATACATGGCTTTGCACAATGGCCTACTTTGATACTAAGTGATGTTAGTAAATGAGAAATAAATAACAACGCACCAACCAGCACTTCTGAACTGGTGTTTGAGGAGATAGGAAAATCTGCTACTAAACAGGCAGGAAGGAAGTTGACATCAGAGCAAGGAGAGGCTGCATGTACCTGTTGACATGTAGTTAGGCTCAATGATAGGATGGTCCTTGGGGTCTGTGCTCTTCAGCTTTAGCCAGCCCACACTCGTGCTCCTCATGGGTCCCACGTGGACCTGCAACACCCATGACATATAACATAATCTCACCAGATGTATTTCTAAATTCAGTATTATTTTTTCTTTGCAATTTGGAATTTGGACAGTGTCTACAAATTAAGCAAATGTAAATGTAAAAGGGAAATAATGGAAAATGCCATTGAATGTTTCTCCATTTTATATAAATTTGTTGTAAATACTCCATAAGAGGAAGGGAATATGTATGTCTTATCAAGTCCCAGCTGTTCTTTTAACTTAAACCATTCCAATTTAACAGTAGCAGAGCATTCCAATATAATCAGCAATCAGACCAAATTACTATCATTGCTGAAGAAAAGAGATTAGCAAGAAGAAACATGTATGTTCAGTGACAGCTCCCCAGCGCTAAAACAGATTTTTGGATCGAGATCATAGTCTAAAACGGGGCTTGGATTTGTGCCAATGAAAAAATGAGTGGCCTTATACATTCTCACTTAAACCTCTGTCCAAACTGCAGGTGGAACAGGGAACACCTTGTTCTGGTTTCGTACAGCATCTAGCACACCGGTACCCTCATCAAGAGTACTCTGGCACTTCAGAAATGCAAACACTTAAACCAAAGTTCAATACTTGCCTGCTTCCACAGAGATAAAAAGTAACATCGTTTTGGTAGCAGTGTCAAATAACAAGCTCATGTTTTTTCCTCAATGTAGGAAGTTAAGCCAGCTCTTTTGTATTATACTGAAGAAAATATTTTTCAGTACATAGCCAAATTATCAATGTTTATGACAAAGTGTAAGCCTCCTTGCTAATTGCTACAGAACATTACTGGAATATGTTCTTCAACAACTCACCTGGTAAGCCTCCATTGTGGAAGCAACCCGACCATGATCAATCACCTGAGAAGGGAGAAAGTGGAACTGAATGTCGGGGTGAGGAACCCCTGGTTCACTTCGGATAAACCCACCAGATTCTAAGTGGGCAGTGGCTCCCTCACCTAGTCAGTGTAAATGAGAGAGAAAACGCCATTAAGAGATCTCAGAAAAGCAAGAAATGCATTTCTTAATCCTTGGTTTCGCTACTGTGAATTCATATACACAGTAGAAAGCCACATACACCCAGCGTAAGTTACTCACTTCAGGGATTACTTCTACAGATTCTTTTTAAGGTACAAGCTATAGCTGGGTTACTGTAAACTGAGAGTGTCATTTTAACAGAAGTCACTTCTGATTTACATGATAGCCTAAAGGGTTCTGATGAGAGCAACACTAATTCTTTTGGGCAATTATACAGAAAATTTAATTCAGCTCAACAATATGCTTTTACCGACACGGTATCTATTTCAAATAAATTTTTTCTTCATTTTTTTACAAGAGCTTTTCTCAGTAGCACCAAGATTTTTAAACGTAGAATCTTTCTTAAAATGAGGGAGAAATAAAAATGTTAAAACCAGTACATAAAACCCTCCTTTGTTACCTAAGATACAATAACTATTTTAAAAGATTCTGATATAGAAAAAAATAGCTCAAGCCTATTTGCAAGCTCCAGTTATTTCCCAGGACATGAAAAAAATTATATACGAAGACTCTCAGACTTTGAAATTCATGGCTGTAATAATTCTAAAGCAATCAATGGGAGAATGATTGCATGCTTTGTTTCATACCTGTAAACTTCCAAAGCCATTCTAGACCAATCCTCACCATGTTAACTGGCTTTTGTGCGTTATATAGAGTAATGGGTTTGGTGCACTTTTGCTGGACGTACACTTCTAAATGATCTTGAAGGTTCTGGCCTACTCCTAGGGGGGAGTAGAAAGGGGAGAAGGGAGAAAAAAGGGGAGAAAAAAGTTATTTCCCATAGAACAATTACACACAACATTTACAACCAGAAAACAGCATAAATGGGAGCTAAACTAACCTCTTACAAGGACAGTGATGACTAAGACCAAGACCATGAGTCCTATCAGCCTTTTGGTCATGTCAGAATAAGGTTTTACATAAACATAGCATAACTAGAATGAAAATAGAAAGTTAAATGGCAGACATATCATTTGTTCTGAAATTGCCAAATGTGACTTCTAAATACAGTACTAGCTTTTCTAGTTTAAAGGAAAAGTTCATGTTTTTCCTTCTATCTTTGAATATATATGACAGTGGGAGTTTATACAACCTACTGTGGATCAAAACTCATTCAAAATTCAAAATCATAAGTATGCTGCTTTACTTTAAAAATACTCAGTGGCATTTTTCAGAAGGGCATTTTTTACTATCAAGTGTTGTGAGGAAAGTTAAGTTTATTGCTCAGCTCTAAAATCAATGCATGTTTGCACTGATTTGTAACACTTAGTTTCAGTCCACACAACCTGACATAAAGACAAATGAATTTCATGGATACATTTCATTTAATGGTCTTTGAATTGCATCCATAAGAAGAGGTAAGGTTAAAAGAAATAATAAAATTACCAGGCAGATGGCAAACAACAGGGATCCCCAGTTTTTTTAGATCATCTGCATTGCCAATCCCTGACAACATAAGCAGCTGTGGAGAATTTATGGCACCTCCACTTAAAATAACTTCTTTACTGGCAAAAGCCTAAAAAGAAAAGAGCACAAAAGTGCTAACATTATTAAGCCTGATCTGAATGCAAGGAACACGTCAAGAGCTTCTGTACAGATATGCTACTATGATCCAGATTAGACACCCTTCCCTTACATTTTTCTTATTACAAATGTATTCCTATGTTGCCAGGCGTTTCTGCAGAGAGAACTGATCAAGCTTTCACTTTGATCATTTCTGTATTTATTCCCATGTTTACAAACCATTCAAACTATATGGCACACAAACACAGCTCAGCCAGCACCATGGCTGCCCATAAACTCCCGTGCTACATACCAGGGAAAAACCACTGACAACACTCGGATCAGTCAGCTAAGCGCTTCTTCCATTTTCAGTAATAGTTTGTAAATTAAAACTCAAACTCCTAAGGAAGATTTTGAATTCCAAGACATGCTAGCTCAAAAATTCTCAAGAGCTTATTTTCTTAATTCAACCAAGCCTAACGTTTAGTTTCTAGCTCACCGTAGTCCTCAGAAGTCCCTCAACCACTAAGGCACTACTGAGAAAACTCTGACTGCAGGCATGTATGTAATTCTGTTCCGCTGACAGACCTTTTATCAAACAGTTCGAGCCCGAGCCCTGAGCTGGTCATGATACAGGCTGCTGAACTATTCCTATGCCTTTGACTCCCTTTTTGTGCTGGATACTTCTTTTTCTAGAACCTTCTCACAAGTATTTTTGGTACATCTTCTTTCCAAGGATTTCTGTCCCAAAATAATCTCATTTAGCAAAATCAAAATCCTCCTCTGTATCATTTATATCTGTGGGCTCCTTCTTTCCTTTTGCCACATCTCTTAAATTTAGGATCAGAACTACCTCCCTTAGTGCTTTTCACTGTTAAAAGGGAAAACTGTGTGGAGTAAGAAAATATGGCTACACCTTCCCTTTACTCTTTGAAGGAGGATGATGTGGATGAACCCAATGTTGTTCAAACTATCTCTTTTTATTCCAAAGAGATAGCTTATGAACATACACACATTGGATGCACTCCATCCTCCTTAGTTGCACATATGTTGCCTGTTGAAATACAAGCTATCCTTTGTGTGTACACTGAGTTTAGGAAGTTGATTACATACTGAATAGTAACTCTTGCACGTTAGAAAAAAAAAAGATTCAAGATTCACTTGTCCTTATGAAAGAACAACTGCACAACAGAAGAAACAAAAAGCCACAATTTATACTTAATGGGACACACATTTGCAAAAGTAATACCATAATGTTTATTTGTGAATTCTAATACACCAGTGTGGCCACAGTGAGGAAAAAATAGACGAGGCACACAATTATGCCCCTGAACTTCCTCTCATTAGCAAGCAAAACCTACAAAGGCTCAAAGAAACATATCTGGTATTCCTCATCTGCATTCTCTGCTTTCGTAGAATGTAAGGTGCTATCATGAGTAGCTGCTTGGTTTTTTTTTAGACGAGACACTTAGCTTCTAAAGCACATTTAAAAGTGCTATTTTTTCCTGTAGTATGGTGAAGAGTTAACAGATTAGCACGGAGTGCATATTAACTTGTAGTAATCATGGTAATCATGCCCGTTTTGAACGAAACCTCAGCTATACAGAATGATGGTCAATGAGATTACTGCTAGTAGTATGATCAAAATGTAGGAAGAAGATAAATATTTATAAATTGTTTTCATACTATTTATCCAATATTGCCATTGGATAGCCAGTGATGAAACTTTTTGTTCGTTATTGCTTTGCTCCAGGCAATCATTAGTATGTTAAGACTAACACACAGCATATCCGTGACTGCTGAATCAATGCTTAGATCTGTATTTTGCATGTCAAACAAATACAACTTATTTATGTTTTCCATAGTGTACACAGAACTGGTGTCAGTTTGTTCCAGGTATGTTCTAATGATGCTTGTTTGGCCCACACTCACTGCAAAGTCAGCACTGTAGTCATTCCGAGCCCACGCACAGTCGTTCATTGTGCTTAAAGCTAACATGCAAAGAGGAAAAACTGACTTTGAAGCCTTTTTGTATAAGTTATTTAGTCTGTGATACATAAAAAACATTCTTCCCCTTTAAATAAACTTTTCTCTTGATTCTGAACTTGGAAACTCCAGGATTGTTCAGTCTACCTCCTCTACTTTTGTCAGAGGGCTTACTGGAGTCCCGGGAGCTCTCTGGGACCCCAGTGTCTACTGAAATAACAATTAACCCTTTCTGCTGGCTTGAATAGGTTTTGAATCATGCTTCAATCAGGTTTTGCGGATCTTTGAACTTAACTGATGACTGACATAAAAGAGATCCTACCTAAAACAGACTGTAAAAACAAAACCACTTTAATGTAATCAAGTGGCTCATCTTGGTGTTCATAATGTAACAAAATTATTAGCTCTTCTATCCTGACAGGTAAAAAAATTTTCAGAAAGTAATAGCAGGCAAGTCCTGCAATTTTAAAGTTGGGGGGAAAAAAAGAAGGGAAATATTTCAAAGGTGTACTTTTTATGCTATATGCTATAAATATATATAATTATGTGTAATTCATACATGTATTAATACGAATGAAAATTCATAGCAATTAAATAATTTTGCAACTCAAGTTCTCCAGTATTCAGAAAGTCTTTGACCATATATAATTAGCTTTCCAAGATGTTCTTCAACAAAAATCTTGACAATGGCACAAGAACAGCAAGTAGAGACATTGCTTTTGCAGACATTTAACAGCTCACGAAATCAAATAAATTTTCTGCAACTTTTGTTTTATGTTGTTAATGATAATCATTTTACCAATCCACTTAGAAAACAACAGATTTCTTCTGTGCATTAGAAAATGAAAGAACAGTTTATTTATATTGCATTTTAACTTTTAGCAGGTGTTCAGCCAGAGAACACTTGTTGCCTGTTCAGTCTTGTAAGCCTTACTGAACTCAAACCATCAGCATTTGTACTCTCCTATCTTTAGGATATTACTATTACACTTTTTAATTGTTTATAATTGTTTGTGAATAAATATCTGAAGTTATTAAGACACTAATCCCCTTTAGGCAATTTCCTACTTACATACTCCATAATCAGCTCTAATATTAAGGAGTTAAAGGAAATGACAATATTTCAGGTCTTACAGAAGTCAATGGAGTGAAAGCTCCATAAAATGGACTGTTTGTCCACAGAGGTAAGTTGTAATGGCAATTCAAGCTTCCTTCCACATGACCACATATTCAGTGGAAGCTGGACTGAGACTGAAAAATACTAATTCCACAAACACCACATTTCATCATTACATTTCATCGTTACTATCCCAAAACTCAATGGCAATGTAGAAGTGAATGACTCATTATTTATCCCTTGAGCCATTCAAATTTCAGTATCTAGCTTTTACAGACTTTCCTGTGCCAGAACAGCATTTTCAGAATTGTTTTTCAGAAACATCAGCCTTTCAACACACTAGTCAACACGCTGAGACAGAGCATGATTGCACCATAGGTTCCAGCCAGAAACCTTACACAACACTCTTGTGTAACATCAAGTTATGGGCTTGTCCCCCCAGTACGAAGAGATGGAAATATAATGGATATGTTAATCTCTAAATGGATACAGCTAAAATATGACCTGCTGTAAAATAACTGACAAGGAATCATATACTGGAAGAGACAACATAGCATTTAAAAGACAGACATTTCGCATAGTAAAGGGCCACTTTGAATAAAAGTTTGCTTTTTAAAAAAGTATTTAATTTTGCTTCGACTCATGTCTTTCATACTGGAAAATAAAAATCTCTTACCTTTTTCCTTTGCCCATTTTTCACATACTCAACACCAATGGATTTTGTTCCTTGGAACAAGATTTTTGTTACAAGTGTCTTCTCTGCAACTGACAAATTTGGGCGTGATATGGCTGGGTGAAGGTAAGCACTAGCTGTGCTCCATCTCTGACCTACAATGTATATTTACATTAAACATCAAAATAGTCATGCTCAGTATTCTTCAAGATTCAGGCCAATAACAATTGGGATGTTTACAGAGGGAAAGTCTTCATATAGAGAGTTCAAAGCAAATGTGCTTTGATATAATAACTAAAAATTTTAACATAACAAATTTCACAATGACATTCTGAAAACCTACTCTCCTTCTCAAATTTAACTGTGAATCGACTTGCATGCCAATGCAATTTTCAATGAAATACATTGAAACTGATAGCAAGCCGCTGTGAAATGAAGAGAGTGTAAACACAGAGTGCCACAGCTGTTCTGTAATCTAAACAACCAAATGGCATTCAGTGCAGATTATATGTCCATCTTCCAAAATGCTTTCAGAAGTACCACTGGTGGATCAGAAATTCAAATTACTTAAGGATCCCTTTATGATTTACCTTGGTGTACGGTCATGTCCATCCAGCCAAATCCTTCTTGCTGATAGCCGTTCATATCATCCGTGAAGGGATACCCAGCTTGCTGGGTTGCCTCCAGGAATGCAAGATGAAGAGGATGGTTTGTTTTCCCTCTTGACACATACAGAGGTCCATTTCCACCTCTGTACTGATCTGGCCCCAGTTCATGTGTCTGTGCCTTCCTAAAATAGGGCAAGCAATGTTCATAGTCCCATCCTATAGCCCCTTCCCTGCTCCATCGATTATAATCTTCTGCATGCCCACGAATGTATACCATAGCATTGAGAGAAGAGGAGCCACCCCACACTCTTCCTCGGGGCCAGTACATAATGCGGTTATCCATATGCTTTTGTGATGTTGTGTGGTAATACCAGTTATATTTCTCGTCACAGAGGTTGTATGTTAATGCAGCAGGCATATGAATCTTCCACATCAGTCTTTTACTACCTAGGAGGGTATCTTTAGGGCCTGCTTCCAAGAGTAGTACAGTACTGTGAGGGTCTTCAGTCAACCTGTTGGCTAATACACACCCTGCTGATCCAGCTCCAACAATGACATAATTATAAGAGTTTGCCTTCTCAGAACTAAGCTGAGATGATGTACGTGAATTTTTGAATTGTTGTCCATTGATGCCCAAGATGTTCTTTAATGTGTGTGCTTTAAACAGAGTTCCTGTTACTTTGTGCATCTGATTCACAAGACTGCAACATTTAACTCCTTGCATTAAGTATGACATCTTTACTGGTGTATCACTCTGGCAGAACTTTTAACAAAAATCCAGTGTTTCACCCTAGAAAAACAAACAAACAAACAAAAATTCTAACTAAGATGTAAGTACTGATACAGTGCATGACCTCTAAAATGTCAGTAATTTTCAGGTAAAACTGGTATACTTTACCTGTTCTTGCTAACCAAAAGGTTAACAATAGTGCCAATAAACCAATAAATATTTACTCTGAAACTTGCTGTCTTACTATTCTTTTAATGCAGTCTATGCACAAGTCAGGTGGCATATGCAGCCCAATTTTGATTTGCTTCTTGTTCCTGAGATAGACACATGAAGCACAATTTCAAGAATTTGCCAAAACCATAAAAGGATGGAAACCTTTGCTTACCCTGTAGTCTCATTTATCTGCCTCTAGTAGGTAAGAATCTAAGAAAACCAACAATTCCATAAACTTGTCTGTAAGTTTGTGACAGTCAGTGATATTTCATAGCCAATTCACAATCAAGGAAATGATGAGTATGCCTACTGTAGCATCTGCCAGACCAAATCTAGGACAACATCTCTACAAAACACATGTAACAGTGAAACTCATTTTCAGCCATCCCTAAGGTGAAAAACTGCTGAGTTTTGAGGTGTGCCTCCTAGCACAGGAAAGGCAAAATCATCATGCATGGCTTTCTACCTTATTACTAAAACCAGATCCTGCAGGAGTGCTCCCAGGACACGTGCAATGTAATACCACCAGATCCTTACGCTGACCAGAAATGTCCATTTTTTTGCCTTCAGAAAAGTGTCTGAGTCTTGCAGGCAATGCAGGTTTAGCTCTGTGTTGCAGAGGTTCAGGTACAGGGACTAAACACAAGGTTTTCACAGCCTGCGTGTCACAGGTATCGATGCTGCTGGCCAGCCTGAAGTGTGTTTCTCTTGCTCTCTCCCCGTGAAATCATCTCTCTTGGTACAAACAATTAGTGAAAATGGATATCCTTGGGCTGTAAAAAGCATTTCTCCCTGGCCCATGGCTTCCATCTAAGTGGTTGCCTTGGATTCTAGAGACACTACCTTATCCACAGGCTGTATGAACACTGTAGCACACTGCCCATCTGAAAGATATGAGCAAGATTTCTCCTAGAAATATATCGAATGCTGTATTATGTTTGTGAAATCTAATTTTTCTGAAATGAATTAGGTTCATACATTCAAGTTTCGTAGTTATCTAATACTTTGTAATACAAGCCCTGTATTTTTGTAACATGTCAGGGTTTTTTTCACTAAAAGAAAACATGTCTTAATGAATCACCAAAATAATCAGCTTTTTCTTACTAAAAGGTGGAACAAACTGTACTCATTTTCTTGGGTGAAACTGTACAATGTACAGTTTGTGAGAGCACAGAAGAGCCCTTAAGGCCCAACTCTGTAACAAAATTAGCTGCATGTTCCTGAAAAATGTTACAAGTCTTCCACACACAACTATATTTATGTACAATTTGATGTACAATCTCATAGGCAAAACTATTTTTTTTTTCTCTCGGGGAAAGGATGGGAAGAAGCATACATCTCTTATGCTTCTTGGGAAACCTTGTTACAGGCTGTACAAACCCTCAAACTTCTGGAAAATGAACAACCACCCATGAAAAACAGTTTGCTTTGTTAAAAAAAAATAATAATGGATGCAGGGGATAGGTCTCAGCCCCCAGTGCACACAGCTGATTCTCACATGGTTAATTCAAAATTGATCCCAGCTGAAGATGGGGGTTGTCTTTTACAGGTGGAGACTATTAAAGGATTCTTTCTTAGAAGTGAAGGTTTAGCAATTTCCTGTGATGCAGCAGAGGATGCAAAGGTAGAGTTTTTTCCTTTGCTCTGTGTTTTGTTTGTGATGAAGAGGGCTACAATTCTGAAGCCCCAGTGTTTAACCTGCAGAACTGGTGGGTCACAGGACTTTAGTGTTTCAGGAACAGCAGCTTGCCGATGGAGTTGGTAGAATATGAGCCTGGGCTCCGATAATCTGGGAAAGGTATGCTGTCTCTATAATGTGAGTTGTTTCTTTTTTTCTAGTAGAGGCTCACCATGATGAGGTGAGGTGATCAATCTTACTCCTGAGGAAATAAACCCTCAGATTTTGGTCCTACAGACAGTCAATGCTTATTATTTAGACAGGTAAGGCTCACAGACTCTGGAACAAGTACTGGCCAGCTTATTTTCGCACTTACAATGCCATCAAATATTACTGTGCCTCCTAACCACAATGCTGGCTGTTATGATTACAACCTACCTAGTTGTTGGCTGTAAAGAGGGTAGATTCCACAGAATCCCTGGAATCATATTCAGTCAGGGACTGACTTGCTCTGGTAGTGCTGGAGGCTGTAGTTCTACAGCTTGCTACAGCATAAGCAGTGGCTACTGAGGGCCCAAAAATACTATCTCAAGTGATGCTTCAAAGGCAACATTGATGTTACAGGACTAAGTGTTTGTATCTTGCCTTATGCCAGAACCCTAGTACTGAAGTCTAGATCTTCTTAAAAGCTGATTTGTTAAGAGCCTCTCACATGTGCAGGCTTTGAAACTCATAAAACAATTCAACCTTGTATTGAAGGGATTGGTATCAAGAACCGAGATCATGAAGTCTTGAAATAAGAACATGATGCTGTGTCTCTCTAAAATAATCTGTGTAGTTCTATGAGCATACATGGGTTTATCACAATTCAAGTTCTTCTACAGAAGGTAGTCTTGTGGAATTTTGCAGGAGTCCCTCTTTGAACAGCCTCTTTTTGCATCTTTGTGCTCAACTTTCCCTTGGTTTTATCTGGCTTTTTCGCCAGGGAGAATTTGCAACCTGTGCAGTGTTCCTAAGAACTGTATTTCAGCAAGAATGTGCTTTTTCCAGTAACAGGAAAAATCAAGTTGTTATCTTAATATATTGTTAGTCATCTGAGGCTCTGAGATGTTCCAGGGAAGCTGGCCCAATTTACCCAGTAGGGAACTATAGTTTCACGGCCAGCTCTACTTAATATCGGAGTGCCTATGTCAAAACAAAACATGTAGAAAGAGGGAGGTTTACACAACATGGTTCTCCTGGAATGCTCTGTACTTACCACCAACAAGAAGTTGTCTTTTGGGCCTTACTGGATATTACTGCACGTCTTTATCTGGATTCTCACATATCATGACCTAGATGTAGTACATGTAGTAAGATGTATCTCAGGAACTGGCGAACAGACCTGCAGAAATGCGTATGGTGGCAACATAAAATATATTTGCTGTATTGTACTAGAGCTTCAAAATCTGGAGCTCATTTTTTTGAAGTATGTATTTACAGATATTATTACTATTGAGAAGGGCCTATAGACAGTGGCCTTACAAGAGCAGGGAAAGCAGGAGCATCTCCACAGGAAAATTCTATTGCTATGATTTAATAATATATCTAATCGTACATTGGATAGCTAGAAGTGGGCAGTGGAGTTCTGAAGTTGGGTGTTTGGTGCTCCTTGCATCATTGTGACACATTTCTGAATGCACCATCAGGCTTGCTTGAGAAATAAACCCTGATGTAACCCATTGGTACTTAAAACTGCAACTCTACAGCTGTTAATTTGAGGTCACATGTGAAAACATACTTCTCTAAGGGATGATGATGTGAAAGGTGAAGAATGTTACTTCATCTTATTGACTATTTTAAAAAGGAGATAAAATGATATGTAAGAAACTGCATAGGTCACCGAAGGACTAAATTGGCTTGCCCCGTCTCTAAGCAAAAGTGCTAGGATTGAGCCCAGGGACCTTACTTCTGGACTCCCAGATTTAAAGGGCTCACAGTCCACGAGAGAGAGGAGGGCAGCTATCCTGCGTGCATAGGGGGATATACTGAAAAATGGACAGTAACAAAATGGTTTTGTAGGTGGATTAGGTGGCTAATCTAAAAAAAGTTTCAGGGCACTGGGCATCTGTTAACCAAGCAGAGCTGCCCTGTTCTTTCATAAAACTGGAAATGAGAGTGGTCAAAAATATACACAGAGAATTAGGGTACCCATTGTCCAGGCTAGAAGGTTGAATTACCAGCCAAGACAGCTAAATCTAATGCTCCCTTTCAGTTACTCAAGAAGTATTTTTAATCTACTCCATCACATATGTTTGTCAGATTTACTGTTAGATGTTATTTCATGTTTTTCCTTGCTTTTTTTTTTTTGTTTGTTTTACATAAATGGAACAGGACTGGCAGAGTAGTAACATTTGAGAGAATTTTTATCTTGCAAAGAGGGATTTGGGAGTGAAGTCAGCCAACAGTGTCCTGGTCATAGTGTTCAAGTGACTCTGAGGATCAGTGTGTAGACGATTCACAAATGTATGCACTTTTAAGTTCTGAAGAAGTGCAGAGGTCAAAAATCAAGCCATTCTGGTGTAATATAAATCCATCATCCATAGCTGTGTATAGAATGATTTAAACGCTAGTTTCAAAGCACAATTTTTTGTCATATTGACCCATACCCACTCTCATCTATACACGGCCCTCCTGCATGAGCACTACGCTACCTCGGTTCCTCTAAACTGCTACTGAAACAAAGAGAAGATGGTCACTGTGGCTGAAACTTTACTCCCTGTCCTATTTCGCCAGGGCCAAAACAATAAAATCCTTTCTGGGAGATGTAAACTATGACCATCTCCCAGACACGTCCAGTAACATGGACAATACATGGTGTGGCACAGCAATGGGCCCTTTGCTGGATGTTTACCCGTCATGGCACTGTGCTGCCAAATCCTGCCAGGCCTGTCTGGGTAAGGCACATGAGGAACAGCTCCTCGGATAGAAGCAGCTCTTGCGTTTTGTTTTTCTGCACCGTGCACTGTGTTCTAGTTTGAATTCATCTGCCGTGGGAGCGTTTTGGACTAACCTTCTCTCCAGCCCTGTCAGTAAGAAAGTTTATTGGATTAGAGAACCCTCCCGGTAAGTTTCATTCCCACGGCCGAAGCTGCTCAGACCGACTCACCTCCCCGTCTCCTT